GTGCTGCAGAAGAAAGGCATCGTGCGGGCGAGAGGACGAGGTACGGAGGCTGCGGTGCCCGGCCCCTCCCTGGCCTCCTCCCACCCGGAAAAAGCCAGCCCCTCGTTAACGCTTTGCATTATTTTCCGGCCCCCCTCCGGAAGCGTCCCTCACAGCCCAGAATGAGGATCTGCTTCTACTCGGCTGGTAGCCGCTCCACTGCAGACGGGATAGCCTAGCTTCCCCTCCCCCCCTTGCAACCTCATGCATAGCCCGGACTGATCTTCGCTTCTTCCCTTTCCAGAGCGTTTCCCCCTCCCCCCTCCAGCCTTTACTCCCCAGAGAGAAGGATCCTTTTTTGCGCCCCTCTCTCCTGATAACCTCTGGGTCCCTTCCTCAGCCCTTTCACGTAGTCGAGGGGAGGAGGGCAGGCTCTTTCTAATACTGCCATACAGCTGTAGAGCAGAGAGCAAAACGGTTTCAGCCAGTCTGCTACTGCAGAACAGATCTGGCCTCAAGTCACCTATGAACTGTTACTTAAATTCTTCACCATGGTCCTTCATGTTCTTTCTGTTGAACCGTTTCTACCCATTTTTTGCTGGGCTCTGCTCCTTTTAATCTGATTGCTCCAGCGAGTCAGTAAGAAAAACTTTTTATAAAATGACTGGAGTGCAAGTTCTATAATTGGATTGCTGTGCATTGGCTAAAGGGGGGAAAGGGCCTGGGGATCTGCTAAGTAGTTTGGCTAAACGCTCCCCTCAGAATGATAGTAAAATAATGGCAATGGTGTGGGAGAGGAAAGAAGTCTGCTTATATTCAGGGAGAGAGGTTTGGGGTCTTTTCTGAGCCACCAAAAACAAATCTGTGGACTTTAGTTAGGTTCTGTTATCACATGCAGTGTAACTGTAGTTGTGTGAGTGGGTGAGAGATAAGGTGGGTGAGGTAATTTTATTGGACCAACTTCTGTTAGTGAGAGAGAGAGACATTTTGAGACCTATAAAGCTCCTCTTCAAATCTGGAAAAGCTACAGGCCCCAGTGCTGGACTGGGGGCCCCCTCCAACCACAGCTCTTCATGCCCTGAAGGCACAGCAGCATCCTGCTGAGTCTATTTAGTCCACAGGCTTTCTGCATCTTTCCTTATTGCCCATCCCCATGAGGAGGTAGGTGATGAGCAACTGGCATCTTTGGCAGTGGGGTTTTTGGGAAGGGTGGGGGCACAACAGCCTAGGTATCCAGTGGTGGGGTGACTGCAGCACCAGGGAAAGCAATGCCTTCCTTGGCCAAGTATACTTGCTGCCCTTGAGTAGTTTACCTCTGCAGTCATAGGACAAATAAAGGAGATTATGGCTTGTTATAAAAGTGTATAACACACTAAGTCTGGTGACACTATTAAGTCCATGATTTTTAGTGTCTAGCAGAGCTCATGGACTCACATTTGAAAGTGTGTAGGTTTCCTTTGTTGATGAAGACTGATAGGTGAGAGGTAGAGTGATTACTTTGTACAGCTATATCTCCACTCTTCAGTGATCAACACCCCTCACCACATGCCTTTCAAGATCCATGGATTTTATATATGGCTATTGCTACATGTAGTATACTTCATCCCATGCACTAAATGCCCCAATAACAATCGCATTGATGGAACCAGGTAATCACTAGGCTCTCAGATGAACTTACACAGGAAAGTGATAAAAGACCAAAACGCCCTATAACCTTAGGATGAACACTTTCACAATCACTCTGTCTGACCTGTTGGTCCTTGTGAACTCTACACTGAATGGTCCCTTAGAGCCGTGGTGTCCAACATGCTAGCCACTAGCCTCATGTGGCTATTTGACCATTTGAGTGTGGCTAAATTGCTATAGCAGTAGCCACTATCATGTTTCAGAACTGGTTGAACGCCATAGCCATAAAGTATATGCTAATTACTTATGCTAAACTCTCTGTTCCATTTTTAGCTTTAAGATTCTTGGAGTACGTTTCCCAGACCCCCAAGAAGAGCCCATTGTGTCTTGAAAGCTTTTCTTTCTCACCAACAGAAGTTGGTCCACTTTGATAGGAGAAGAAACACAAACCCCCAGCTTTTACTGAAAATAATTTGGGAGCCCACCCCTCTCTATCATGACATTAACTGTCTCTTTGGGTTTGTCTACACTGCAACACTATTTTGAAATAACTAGCTCTATTCCAAAATATCTTAGTCCATGTCTACACAGTAGGCAGTTATTTCGAAATTGTGTCAAAATACTGTCAAGCTGGAGGATTTCTGTAACCCTCATTGTACGAAGCATAAGGGAAGTCAGAGGAAGAGTGCTCTATTTTGAAATAAGTGCTGTGTAGATTAGGGATGTACTAGTATAGTCGGTTAACCGATTAACTGACAAGCAAAAGCTTATAGGTTAATGCTGTAGACTACACACATTTCCCTCTCCCTCTGCTGTCAGTTAATTTTTTAGCAGGCTGGCTAGCAGCCTGGCTCAGTCTCGGCTCACACTGGGTCTGGGACCTACCATCACTGTGGCTCTGCATTTAAAGTGTATTAAGAGCCAGGCAGGCATGACTGCCAGTTTATCAGAGGCAGCCACACAGGGTGACAGGCAGCCAGTCCATGAGGGGAGCTGGATTTTAAACTGGCTCCCCTCACAGACCAGCTCCCACGTAGCACCCTATGCTGCTCCCTCTGATACAGAGGCAGCAGCGCAGAGTGGCAGGGGGCTCCTCGGGAGTGGGACAGGAGCTCACTGGCTGCTGGCCCTACCCCCAGGGACTACAGAATAGTCGAGTAACTGATAAGAATTCATGAGATTAATCGACTATTCAGTTAACCGATAGTTAACATCCCTTGTGTAGACCCTCCCTATTTCAAAATAAACTATTCCGAAATAAGATATGCAATTGACATAGCTCACTTTGCATAGCTTATTTCCAATTAAGCTCTGCAGAGTAGAAGCATCCTTAGACATTAAATTACTGAGGTTTTTCACCCATCTTGTATTTATCCCATATCAACTATTCAAAGCATAAAGCACCTGCAAGTGTTTTCATGCTTTTCTTTTAGGAGCAAGCAAGTAGGGTGGATGCAGAAAGTAAGTGACATGGAAAAAAATCCATTTCCTGATGTTAAGGAACTGACATCCTTGATTTGAATCTGCTTCCAGTCCTGTTACAAAATTTATTCAGTCTTGCTGCCTGAGCAACTTTATTGTGAAATAGAACACATGAAACTTCTTATTGTCTGGTGGATAGTAACATGATGAGTTGGTTTTTACGTTCACCCGTAAAGTTAAAATGTTTTATGTCAGAGCTCAATGGTTGGAGAGAACAGCAAGAAATAAATAATAAAATTCAGATATGATGTCAAACTGAAACAGTCGAGTCATCAGTGTACTTCTAAATAATTTTCACTTTGTGAAATTCTGTAACACCACTGGTCATCTCTGATTTTAAAACAAGCATTTGGCTTTCAATATTTTATGTACACTTGATAAGAAAGTTCTGTTATTGGCTAGAGAAAGATGTAAAAACTGTCTTCATACAGTTGTACCAATGAATCTTCATTCTGTTCTTTCACAGAATACAAATCAACAAACTTTTTTTTACTATATAAATGTGAGCCTTTATGTGAACTTGGTTTCTTGAGGTAAAAATGTAGCACAATAGATCATTGTGCTATTTAAACCCACTTAAATGATGATAGAAATCAACATGATTATTACAAGTTCACAATTTACGTAACTGTGTTCTGAAGTCACAGCTTTGTAAAGCATGATATTTTGCTAACAACATTTTTATACTTTGAATTTATCTGTGAGAAATTGCAAAAACTGTCTCTTTCCACCTAAATCTTTGCTTTGGAATTATTTTAAGAGGAAACTCATAGGCTTGACGCAGTCATTCTTTTGCATTTGTGTGAATATGTAGGGAGCTCTTATGTAAATTCAGAATACTGGAACATGTTAGGTATGACTTCCAGAATTTTTGTACATGACTGTTCTAGGACCAGCTCACGTTTCAAGACCATGCTATATCTGATGTGTTCCTGGGGACTCATTCAAGCATAACAAACAATTTGCAACAGCATTACTACCAGCTGACAGCCTGGCCCAACAAGTTTATTTGCATTTTCCACAATTGGCTCATTGTGGCATTTTAAGGCCCTGACACGGTGCTGCTTTGTAAACACAGGGTCCCCTCTCCCACAAAGAAAAGTAATCTTTGTTGGGCTGGATTTTTTTTTCTTTCATGGATAAGTGACATTCATAGAAACACATTTTGGGAGTACAGTAAAACTCCATTGGTCCAGCATCCAATGCTCTGGCACTCCTGATGGTCCGGCACCATCGGGAATCTGGAAGTGCTCCGGGCAGCTGGACAATTGGAGCTGCTCTGCGCCCGACTTCCCTGATTCAGCTGCTGCTGAAACTGACCAGCAGCTGAATAGGGTAAGCCGGGGGCAGAGCAGCTGGGGTGCTGCTGGGTTGGTCCCGTAGCGGACCAACCCAGCAGCACCCCAGCTGCTCTGCTGCAGGCATCCCCAATTCAGCCGCTGCTGAAACTGACCAACAGCAGCTGAATCGGGGACGCCTAGGGTAGTGCCGGACTATCGGAAGGGGGGGCTATGAGGGGTCTGGGGTGGCATCCCCCCCACCCCACCCCAGACCCCTCATAGCCCCTTCTTCTGATAGGCCTAAAGGTGCCGGATTATTGGAAGTTGACTGTAACTTGTTTACAGCATTGTTGACCCTAATATAATTAAATTTCCATTTTGCCGTGTAGCTGGGACCTACCATGTTTAAAGAATTATGCTAAAGTCTTGAACTTTCTCATTCATGTAATTTAACATTTTTCACTAATGGTAATTGAATGATTATATATAAAATAACAGTGTCACAAAGTATATTGAAAAGTTACTTGTAACTGATTTTTCTTGGCAAAATTTGAGTGCCAACCTACTGAGGACAGCATTTCTTAATTGCTATATGCAAAATTAAGCTACAAAAGCCCAGTAAAATTAAGTAGCAAAAACATGAGGTATAGAATCCTAAAAGATTCTAGGCTAGTGTTCTCTCCATTTTAATGTATTGAGCTTGTTCTCTTGAATGGAAGGCAGAACTAACATAGTGCATGACATGATCCAAAACTCATTGAAGTCACAGTGTGCTTTCCATTGATTTCAATAGGTTTTGCATTAGGTCCATAATTGACAGTATGGTACTTAACTTGCCTCTTCAAGTTTTCGCTACATTAGTGAATTGAATCAGTAAGAGAGTATCAAACTGTGCTTGGAGAGGAAACATCAGTACGGGGACACACTTTTGTGAAGTTAGTTTACTGGTATGGATGGTTTATGTAATTTTGTACAACTATTGAGATTTTTATATGCAGCAACAAAAATTTAAGAACTGATAAATTTGATACCCACGTGAAAGCTGGTCATACTCCTTACTGTCATTTTTTTTCTTATTTCAATTCCAGTATAGTTTTAGCAGCCATTAGAGGCAGTCCCCGAGTTACGCGGATCTGACTTACGTCGGATCCATACTTACAAACGGGGCTTTTCTTGCCCCAGAGGACGCGGGCGGCGGGACCACCCAGACGCGCCGCGGTCCCGCCGCCCAGGTCCTCCGCAGCTTTGCTCTGAGTGTCCCTGGTCTGCAGACCACGGAGACGCGGAGCAAAGCCGCGGACGACCCAGGCGGCGGCACCGCGGCGCGTCTCGGTCCCACCCCCTGCGCCT